GAGTTCTTTTGACCCTCAACAATCATAGGACTCTATGCCTTGGACTCGTCGAGTCCCAAGAACGGTCTCGCCGAGTCGATAACGTCCACATCCTAAATCCTCGATTTCTGATGTACAACCTTTGACCAAAAGATAGATCCAAGCCCCTAAGCTCGATCTAGCACGTAAAGTTTTGAACTTTACGTGCATGCATGGGACTTTTGAGCCTAAAAGGCTCTAAAATGGCTCTTATGTTGCATGGGGCCTTCCGTGAGTGCAAAAGCAACCCAAATCTGCCTTGTGACCCTTCCCAAGACTTAGATCCGAAGTCTTGACCCCCAACCATGTTTGCAATCATGGTTGGCTACCTCATATGGCTTAAAAAGCCCTAAATCTTCCCCAAAAAGGGATCTAACAAACAAGCAAGCAAGGTACAGACTTTATACCTTTCAAAGACTGCAAATGATGAACCAAAATCGAATCCTTCAGTCTCCTCTTGATCCTTCTATGTTCTTCCTCCTTCCTTGAGGTTAAAACCCACAAAAATCACTCAAAAGCCTTAGATCTTGCACCAAAACACTTAGGGTTTGCTATGGAGGGTTTCTGGGAGCATAAAGGGGCGATGGAGGCTGTATAAGGTTGTTTAAATAGGGTGCAAACCCTCACATTAGGGTTTTGTCCAGTCAGAGCCTACTCGTTGAGTCCGGGACCCGACTCGACGAGTCCATCACTTAAATCCCGCGTCTCATCCCGCTTCTACTCGGCGAGTTGGGCCTTCAACTCGCCGAGTCCCAGGCCAAAAATGCAACATTACTTAAATAAAATACATACCAGGAACCAGGTGCTACAAACCATTTCCATCAGTTAAGAGAAATACATCATTGCTTGAGTTGATTCATTCTGATATATGTGAATTAAATGGAATCCTTACTCGAGGAGGAAAAAGGTATTTCATCACATTCTGTGATGACTTCAGTCGATATCTACATGTTTATTTGCTGAGATCAAAAGATGAAGCTTTTGATGCATTTAAGCGGTATAAGGCTGAGGTCGAAAATCAACTTGAAAAACACATCAAAATTCTTCGCTCGGATAGAGGCGGGGAATATTTCAACCAAGAGTTTGACACATTTTGTGAAGAGAATGGAATCAAACATGAGAGAACTTCACCATATACTCCCCAACAGAATGGTTTGGCTGAAAGAAAGAACCGAACCCTTTGTGAGATGGTCAACTGTATGTTGAACCAATCGGGTCAACCAAACAATCTGTGGGGGGAAGCACTATTGACTGCTTGCTATGTTCATAATAGGATCACTAGTCGTGTGATTCCTACAAGCCCTTATGAGTTGTGGAAAGGTAGAAAGCCTAACCTAGACTATTTGAAAGTGTGGGGGTGTGTTGCTTATTATCGGACTCCTGATCCTAAGCGAACTAAATTGGGAGCACGAGCTAATAAGAGTATATTTATTGGATATGCTCACAATAGCAAGACTTACCGATTATTAGATATTGAATCAGGTGTTGTTGTGGAATCCAGAGATGTGGAATTCTTTGAGGACAAGTTTTCTAGGGATGAAGAAAACTCCAGTCATACAACACCTACAAGTACTTCTCGAGAACTACTCCCACCTCCTCCTATTGTGGAGGAACCAAGGAGAAGTACTAGGGCTAGAATAGAGAAACGTTTTGGAGATGATTTCTATTCTTATTTGGTCGAAGGAACACAAAAGAAAGTGACGATAGAGGTCATCTTTGCCATTAATTTGGATGATGATCCTAAGACCTTTACTGAAGCCATGCCGTCTCGAGATGCTCCTTTGTGGAAGGAAGCCATAAATGACGAAATGAATTCAATCATGGGTAATGGAACTTGGGAGTTAACTGATCTACCCAAGGGGAGAAAACCCATAGGATCCAAGTGGATATTCAAGAGAAAGTATCATCCAGATGGAGCCATATCTGCCTATAAAGCAAGATTAGTTGCTAAGGGCTATAAGCAGCGAGAAGGTATTGATTATTTTGATACCTATGCCCCAGTTGTTAGGATTAGTTCTATTAGAACTCTCATAGCAATATCAGCTTTGAAAGGATTGTACATTCATCAAATGGATGTGAAGACAACCTTTCTAAATGGTTATCTCAAGGATGAGATTTACTTGGAGCAACCTGAAGGTTTCGTGATACCTGGACAAGAAAACAAAGTGTGTAGACATGTTAAATCCTTGTACGGGTTGAAGAAAGCTCCTAAACAGTGGCATGAGAGATTTGACACCACTGTGACTGCCTTTGGTTTTCAGCACAATAGTGCTGACAGATGTATTTATTCTAAACATACATCCGATTACATAGTTGTTATATGTCTTTATGTTGATGATATGTTGATCATTGGCACTCACCTAGAAGGTATTCTTGAGACGAATAAATACCTATCCTCGAACTTTAAGATGAAAGATCTTGGAGAAGTTGATACAATTCTTGGTATCAAGGTGAAAAGGACAGGTGGTCAGATTTCTCTGAGTCAATCTCATTACATAGAGAAAGTTCTGACAAAGTTTCAACATTTGAACATTAAAGAATTCAACACTCCTTTTGATTCAAGTGTGAAACTAAAGGTGAATTCTGGTCGAGCAGTGGCTCAACTATAATATGCTAGTGCAGTTGGAAGCATGATGTATGCTACTCACTGCACTCGACCTGACATCGCATTCGCTGTAAGCAAACTGAGTCAGTATACTGTTAATCCAGGGACGAAGCACTGGAAGGCAGTGGGTAGAGTACTAGGATACCTGAAAAGGACAATTACTTTTGAGTTGACGTATTCGTCATCTAACGGAATACTTGAAGGTTATTCCGATGCCAGTTGGATTGATCACACTAGTGATTCAAAATCAACAAGTGGTTGGGTTTATACTCTAGCTGGTGGTGCTATTTCTTGGGCGAGCAAGAAACAGACATGCATAGCTCATTCAACGATGGAAGCAGAGCTAATTGCCTTAGCAGCAGCGGGCAAAGAGGCAGAGTGGAATCGAGATCTACTTATGGATATCCGTTTGTGGGATATCCCTATGCCTTCAATACCCATGTACTGTGACAGTAAGGTCACACTGTCTAAAGTATATAATGCGGTATATAATAGGAAGTCGAGACATGTAGGTCTGCGGCACAATTTTGTGAGACAACTAATTGAAAGTGGTACCATCAAGGTTGTCTATGTCAAGACAAGTAGAAACTTGGCAGATCCGTTTACCAAACCTCTGACGAGAGATTTGGTTACATCTAGCACGAGAGTCATGGGTCTAAAACCACAATAGAATCGCTTAGTGATGGAAACCCAACTTGACATTAGTGCTCCTAATTCTCAAGTTTAAAGGGTAACAACGAAGTCACTAACGGTAGAAGGTACTATCATTATTGATAGATCCATGTGAGGTAGGATAGTACGTCGTTGCCGAGAACGAGGTTGAGTTACGACTCTTAACAAAGTTTTGGAGACATCTAAGCAACGAAGATTAGTGGTTTATCTTCTAAAGGGTCATGAAAAGGGTTTATAGCGCATGGCCATATTAGCGCTCAGGGAGAACACAAAGATGACTTGTGATGTGTGGGGGTAAACCAGAGAGGTCATTAAGGTTCATGGTTTAAACCTATAAGGATACCATTGAATCAGTCTCTTCTTGTTTGTTCCCATTAAACTAGGGTTTAATCTTCGTGACACCCAAGTGACATCATCTGTCTGAGTGAAAGGAAACTTTCCAACTTGGTGGGGGATTGTTGGAACTTTATATATATATATATATATATATATATATATATAAAGGATTTGCAAGTTGGCAATTTCCTTTGTATCCCACATTGGTCGGGGGGGGGGGGGGGGGGAAGAAACTTTTGTGGGTTTATAAGCTTATTCCTTTGATAGGCCTTCAAAGGCTTTAGTGGATCAAAGGAATGGGCCAAGCCCACGCGCGTGCCTAGCCTAGCCTAGCACTAGCCGACGCCGCGAGTGCGCGAAATGGCGCGATTTAGGCCGATCCGGTCAAATGGTTGACCGGCGTTGACTTCGTGGATGATAAGTCATCGGGACATTCTAGAAGGATCAGGAAACGGCTTGCTTGGAGAGCAAGTCGTCGCCCTAGGGTTTCTGGGGCCGGCCTATGGGGGCCCGTTTCATGCCTTCTAGGGTTTCGATACCTATAAATACTGCTCCCTAGGAGCCATTTGGCTACCTCACGAAAATTGAAAGCCTCTCTCCCACTCTCTACGTTTTTTCCTGGTTTCCGAGTATTTGCTTTGTGTTTGTCGATTTCCAGTGCTGTTGGAAGATCGATAGGTCTGCATTAAATCCTGGGGTTTTACTCTGTTGCTTACAGCCAGTAGAAGCGAAGTAAAAACCTTTAAGGACAGGAGTTCGATCCGTGCAGTTATCTGAAGTTCAAGATCAACAATCTACAGGTTGGTTTTACTTTCTGTCTTGCATTTAATTTCGTCCAACAACAGGACAGTCTTCTTCTTCCTTTCTTATAATCAGATCTAATCGTGAAGGATTGATCTGGTTTTGGACGAAACTTGGTAAATATAATAATAATAATGGGATCTATAATTCGCAACTAATCGACATATAATTCTCAATATTATTTGTCGGTTTCCTTGCGTGTCTATTAGTTTGATTTTCAACACAAAATTCATTAAATTCTCTTTGCTTCGAATTATAGATGTTTTATTTTTTTCTTTGTACCTTCAGAAAAATTTCCAGCTTCTAACATATTTGTTTTTGCATAGGTGATTCTTATGTTGACATTAATTGCCATGCTCAGAGAAGCAAGCAAATGGCATTAGGAAAAGACATCCAAGCTCACAAATTTTCATGAGATGCATATATAATTTGAAAATTCTAGGTGCTTGAAGACTTTAGTTTTCAGATACATGTACATAGTTTATAAGTTTCCTTGTATTAACACAACCCCAAATAGATTATAGATATAATATACAATATTAATTCCTCTTGATCGATCATCCACAAATTATGCAGTGGGGTAGGATGCTTGCATGGCAATGCCACAAATTCTTTCTTTCGCATCAACATCTCTTTGCATCATTATATACCCCTCTTCACCCCAACTTGTTCCCCATGAATTCTTCACCAGCCAATACTTACTTCCATCACCAGTCGTTCCATAACCAACCGCAGTAACACCATGGTCAAGTTCCGTGCCACATTCTCCACTAAACACCCCGCTAGAGTAGAACTGGAAGTCGGACCCACTTGCATCAATAGCCACAGAGATAGGCTGACTGGCTACAGCTTTCAACAGCGCACTTTCACTATTAGCAGGAACATCTTCATGACCCGTAATTGTTGCAGCATGGTTTGATGCCTCGTTGCTGTTGCATGTTCCATCCACTGCTTTGTATGGGTAGTTGCTCTCTGTTGTAAGGCCTTTATTCTTTAGGATGAATTCAAAGGCATCATCCATAAGACCACCTTCACATCCCTGATCTACACCACTGGTGTCGCAGTCCACGAGCTCTTGTTCAGATAGAGAGATTAGTTTACCTGTTGTCAGTTGGGTTATTCCTTCCATAGCTGCCACAGCTGAAAACGCCCAGCAAGACCCTACAGCATATCGTGATGAAGTTTTTAATTCAGCAAGAAACAATACGTTTCAGTTGTGAAATTCCTAAAACAATTGTTGCTAGCTAGCTTACCACATTGGCCTTGGTCTTTAACAGGTGTTACTGCGCCTTTCTTTCTCCAGTCCATTGATGATGGAACTGCTGTCACGTTTTCATACCTGAAAGCAGAGGTGGATGCGGAACATTCATGTGCCTTGAATCGGTTCCTTGTGCTTGTGAACTCTTGGTTTGTAAGGTCTGCAAACTCATTGACTGCTAGTTTGTAACCTTTGTTCATGCCATTGTTGGATGAGTGTATGTACTGAACGTTCTCTTGGAAAATCTTTGAACGCCGTTCTTTCTCATCAGCATCCTTGTACACACGTCCATAACGAGCCATCCATTGCTCGTGGCTCTCATAGCTTGAAATGTCAGGGAGCAACCGGGATGCAGTGTGTGAAAGCAAAGTTGCTGAGAAGAAGAGTAAAACCAAACATGCCAGAGATGTCTGGTTTGTGGATGACATAGACATAGTGGTTGTAGATATAAGAAATAGGGGATATGAATATAAGTTGGAGTAAACTCTTTGCTGAGAGGCTGGCTTTATATAGAAAGAAATGATTTTGTCCTTGTTTGAAAAATGAAATATATGTTTTCAAGTACGTAGAAGATCAGATGGTATGATATTAATATTAATTATATTAATTAAAATGAAGTTAAACGCACGGTATAAGTTGTTTAGATAGAGGATTGATGACACTAACCATGTTGGATTTCCATTTTGGACTGTAGTACTGCTGAAGGCTGAAACTATTGCATTCTCATTCGTTCTTTTAACATATAGGCATAGGTAAGTTAAAAGCTTACAAAACATAACTTGGCCACAATTTTGGAATTTAGTTGTGTCCAACATATGTTATGGGAGAAATTCTCTAAGAGTCTGGTGATATATATTTGTTATTTATAACCATTTCTTCTTGGTTGGTTTTTAATGTTCCAAATTCAGATATGCACGCACAATTAATTGCATATATTTGATAATTAGATTTGTATTTAAATTGATGTATTTTAATAGAGAATATAAGTTAGAGCATCTTGTTGAGATGTTCTTCATTTCATAGAAGTATACCTTCAATTTAACCATATCATATTCTATTTGACCTCAAGGATGAGAAATTTAGACAATTTCATTTTATATTTAACCTCAAGTGAAGGATTACGACTACGGACTATACCCAGATTGCGATGCGGAAGCGGATGATCGTTGATTTCATTGGTGCGGAGGATAATCACGTATCGCAAAATCCTCACAAATCGCAACCTAAATCTTGCTATATTTGCCATTGAATGCTCTCTTTTGTCTCTCTCAAAATCCAAAAGGCTTCACTTCAAAAAACACATCAAAACATGCATTTATAGTCCCTTTTGTAATGGTTAAAAACCGTCAATGTAACCTCTATAACTCCCACAAACACTATTGCGAAACCACCCATGATGGCTGTTACAAAATAAATTTGTGAACAGGTCGGACATGGGTCAAGTTTTCCAATATCCCCCACCCGTAGACAAAATACTATATTCTCTGTAACTTAGTATGTGGGAAACATTTCATATTTGAGAAACAGACCCGTGCAACCAACATGTTTTTTGGGAGCTTACATGCCATACAACTATTAGGATGTATATAGGATGTATAATATCTCTGGATATTTAATAAGAGTAGAGTTAGTACATAATATCCTAGATTATTTATCACATTCCCGTTTCTTATGATCTCTATTTTACTATATAAAACATCTTGTATTCACAATTATCTTGTCAGTATGACACTAGATAATTGGTCGTCATGTTAATACAATTACAACATGATTTTTTGATAATCTTTCTTTCTTCTTCATTTCAGTGGCCCTTAATGTAACTCATTTATCTAAAGAAATCCCTTAGTTCAAATCGTTCATAACCCTTTAAAAATAACTTAAGATAGCAATCATTAAAATAAACCTTATCAAACAAAAAAAATGTAATAAGGATACAGTTCAATTTAAATTAATTTTACACATATTACTAAAACTGTGAATGATCAACCATGTGAGTAGGCTGATCTTATATCTACATAACTTTTAATTGCACAACTTCATGGTGCCACATGGCGCCCTCCCGGTGGTGGCATGCAGTGGCGGAGTTAGAAATTTTTATATGGGGTACAAACATTATCAATAAATATTCTATGTAGTTATCATATCCCGATATCCGGTGCATTAAAAAACATGATATAATCTCTTTAGCTGGGTACAATAACATAGAACATGTTTACAAATAATTTTTTTTATATACATAAAACAAATTTTTTGGGGATGTTGTAGTACCCCCAACGCCCCATGTAGCTCTGCCACTGGTGGCATGTCATCGTTTTCGCGAGTATTTTTTGTAACTTTCGAAAAAATCATAGCTTTCACATTCGAGCTTTGTTTTCGATATTTATTATATCCACACATTCGTATCGACAAGTACTACAACTTTCTCATAGAGTCCGTCGGCTATTTCTCATTCCATTTTAAATTTACAGTCTATGAAGATAATACCGTGCAAAATTCATAAATTCTTCATGAACTCCATTCTCGACATTCTCTATATCGACAGTATTGTATTTACGAGTACTTCAACTCTTGTTTACATTGTTTTGGCAAACAATGAACCAATTTCCATTTCGATTTATGTGTTGCACACTGCTGTACTATGTCACACCGAAACTTCGAAAAATCATAGTTTCTTCGTACAAAGTCAGATTTTGGCGTTCTTTAGATCAAACAGATTGTCATCACAACTACTATAACTTTCGTTAAGATTATTTATCCTAAATAATACTTTATTTTTAAATGTTATTTAATGTAATTTGTTAAATTTATAACAATGTTTTATAAATATATTATAAGCCCATAATATTTGTCCATAAAATATGTACACAATATATAAATATCATTTATGTAACTCGTATCACGTACGAATGATTCTTATTTATTTACTATTATAAACGAAATAAAACTTTTAAAATACATTTTTTATTATAATTAAAATGTTAAACATATACTAAAATATAAAGTGATAAGATAGACAATTTACATTTTAAAGAGACTTATATGGATATTATGTATAATATTGCATATCCATGATTATTTATTAATTATTACTTTGAAGTAACACAAACATACAAACATATATACAATATTTAATTAAATATTATCTATATCACTTTCCATAACATATGATCGATAATATGAATCTAATCTAATTTATATTAAAGTTTCAACCACAACATACAATGATTGTTTTAAAAGAATAATTAAACCAAGAAAAATATAAAAAAAGAATTAGTATATAACAAACTTACAAATTAAAAACTTTAACATAATAACATGGCTCGAAAAATGGTCCAAAGCCCTCAAACCAACACAAAACATTTAAACTTGTTTTCTTTGTGAATGTTGTATGTGATTTGTATTTGTGTGTCTACTCAAAGAGAATGACATTTTTATAGTAGACTATCCATTAATTGTTAATTAAACATATTATATAAGTTATAAAACCTTTCATGATATGTGATTAATTACTTTGAAGGTGAAAAGGTGTGGGGGTTTCAAATGCATGAGGTGCTTGGAAATTTGTGTGGGGGTTTCAAATGCATGAGGTGATAGGAAAAATGCCTCCTTTATAAGTATAGTATGATATGATATAGATTGTAAAAATATCTTTAGGAAATATTTTAGTTAAGATGAGATTACAATTTAGTTTTTGCATTTAGCACTACAATTTATCACTTTTAATTATTCACAAAATATTCTTTGGGTTTTTAAGTGAAACTGAAATTTATATTTAAGTTGACACTGTAATGTTATATTTAAATTAACAATTTAAGTATTTTGTCCAAGCTGTTCAAAAGTTGTAGCTTTAAACTGATAATGGTTACATACAACAACATATTAAATTTAATAAATTAAGTATAATATGTTAAAAGTTAAAGACATAACTTTATAAGTAGAAGTAAAGATATTATTTTAATATTAAAATTTAGTTTATTTATGATTACACTTTATGGTTGATATTTATTTAACCTTATTAACAAACTTATAATCATTATTAGAAAGACACTAAAATTTATCATTTTTAACTATTTAAAAAATATTTTTTGGGTTATTTAAGTTGACACTGTAATGTTATATTTAAATTAACAATTTAAGTATTTTGTCCAAGCTGTTTAAAAACTGTAGCTTTAAAATGATAAATGTTTACATATAACATCATATTAAAACTAATAGGTTAAATATAATATGTTAAAAGTTAAAAATATAACATTGTAAGTAGAAGTACATATATTCTTTTAATAATGAAATTTAGTTTATATATGATTACATTTTAGGTTTGATATTTATTTAACCTTATTAACCAACTTATAATCATTATTAGAAAGAAATTGAAAAGTAATGAGAGTTTCAAATGAATGTGGTGAAAGGAAAAATGCTTCATTTATAAGTATAGTGGACGAATTCCCGCGCGTTGCGCAGTGTGCAATTATATTGTTTAAAATCTTGATTTTCATAACGGGTGTTTAGTTGTTAGAAGTTACTATGACCAAGTTAATAAAATTCATCAACGTCCGGATTAAAAAGCAAGACCTTCCATCTAAAAGAAAAACCTTTACTAAGTGGGTTAGTCTCACGTTGATGTTTAATTAAATATACATTTCAGTTTAGGTTTTATATTTAAAAATATACATAATTTTTAACTATTAGAAAAATAGTCTTATGATATTTTGATTTATGGTTATGATTTAAAACCATTTTTATTTTAACCAATAAGTTATATGTATATATTAGGTTGAAAAATGAAGAGTTGGTTTGAACTTAGACTAATAATTGATTTTAATGTATTAAATAAATCAAATTAAGGAGGTTAAAGTGAATGATTTAATTAAGTTAAAAAACCGAGTATGTTTGGTTAATTACTTGAAAGATCAAGAGTTTGTGTAACTTTCAAATGAATATTTTGCATTAATATGACATTTATTATAAAATAAAAACCAAGATTAGTGAATAACTAAAAGAATACACATTTTAACAATCTTGGCATTGATATTTCTTATTAGGTGTTTGTTTTATAGTTTCAACATTTATTATCATTTCTATTATTAATTATAAAGAATTTTTTTGTAGGTTTAAGCTGTGGAGGTAGCTTGTTCGAGCTATGTGTTTCTTCATAAAAGTCTAATTATTATTTTATTGCAATTAATGTGTTTGACTCCTTACTCTGTTAATTTTGATTTAAGAAAATCACTGCATTGATCATTTTCAAGAATATGAAACATGTGAATGGATAACAACAATAGAATTAAAAACCAAGAGATACAACTTGTACAACAAACCTACAACAATTAACAACAGTAAAGGGTAAAGTTTCTGGCATCATCTTTAAAAACATCAATGCATCATCTCATTAAAAACTACAAATTTCCTCATAAAGAGATAAACTCATCAGCTC